GGCGGCCGCTACCCGGTAACGGAGCCGACCCTGGATGTGCTCCTCTGCCGGCCTGGCTGCGGTGCTGCTGGCTTTGCTCACGAGGGTACGTGGCGGGGTGAGCCCTTCCCGGGGCATCCCACCTCCCGCTGCAGCCAAGTGGCGCCAATGAAACCACGCAGGGTCTTACCAGGGCTGGGGAGTCCGGCTCTGGAGGTGGGCAGACGCAAGGTGAGGCTTTCTCCGGGGATGCGTGTTTGCTTTCTGAGGAACCCACGGATACTCCTCAGAGCTTTGGGAAATGCTGATTTTCGGAAGCCCCGCGGGTCGGCTGCTGCTGAACAGGTGGTGCAAGGCTGGGTGGGTCGCAGAGACCTAGCAAGGGTCTGCTGCAGGGGATAAGCACAGGAAGGAGACCGGGTGGAATTACTGAGTGAGGCACTGCAGGGACCTTGTAACTTAGTTATAAAACCTCAGCGATTCTCCTGATCCCTTGACTAAACAAGGAGAGACACTGGAATTGGCTGCACTTCGCTGCACACCCTGGGCTTGCGGCGTGGAGAGCTCCAGTGCGGGGAAGGTCGTCTGCGCTGGGCTGAGTCCGGCGTGCAAGCCCATCTGGGGCAGCGCCTGCTGGGTTTCCAGCACAAACCTGGGGGTTTGTGCCAGCTCAGACACTCACTCGGAACTTTCCCTGTGTCCAGGTCTGACTCCGGAGCTGGAGCTGGCTTGAGCGGCCGCAGAGAACAGGAGGGGGAAGACGGCTCTCTTGGGCATCCTGCTCCCACCGCACGCGAAGAGGAAGGGACAGAGGTAACGAAAGTGATAGAATCTGAAATTTCACGTTGCAAACAACCAGTACAGAATTATCAGAGAGCACATAGGGGTTTCTGGTTCTGCATTCTTACCCCTAATACTCCTCTGCAATAAGAACATTTGCACAGTCTCACAGCTGAGGGAAACAATGACACGGCAGTGCAATGGAACGACCTGAGCGACTGAACCGGCAGTTCCCGGGCATGACCTGTTGAGGGAGGATGGGGCAGGTGGAGGGAGAAGCAGCAGCAGGCTAAAACAGCTACTGAGCACAAACCAATGAGCGTGATGATAAAGCTGAGGAAACAGGACTAACGGGCCCACCAGAAAACAGAGGAGCTACTTTTCAAGCACCTCTGTCATGAAAAGATAAACTGCTGGAGCCACGCTGGGCGCTCTGCCTTTCCAAAAATCATTTCTAGAAGGGCTTTCCAATCTGAGCCCCTGGACATGTTCCTCTGAGCCACACCATAATGAGTAGAAGCAAAAATCACTGTCCCAGAAGCTGGTGGTACCATTTTTTTCCATTTCTACCCCTGCTTAAAAAAAAACCCCGTAAAACTAGGAGGAAAAATGGGGTAAACTTGACTAGAAATAAGAAAATGAAAATCAAAATGTAAAGTTCTAAGGCTAGACACAAGAAATAAACCCACAGAACGCGGTTATCTTTGGCTCTACGCCAGGAGGTTCCACAGTGGCAGCAATTAAAACCCCAAACCAATATGTGTGGGGAGACAACACAGGCAGTTGCTACAAACGTGATGGAAGAGGACACTGTCTTGATAAGGACAGCTGACAAAAGACACGACTGCCAAAGGTAAAGATGGCACAGGAGAAATTTTAGTCTGTGAGGAACAAAAGCAGCGCTCAAAATGCGGCGGGGGCCTGCTGCAGCCCGTCACAAGAGTGGTGCTGGCTGCTTCTTGATTTAAAGCCGGTGGGATGAGGTACCTGCCATTCCGCTGGACCCGGGCAGAGCAGTGACTGGACTGGAGATAACTCCAGATTAACCCGTGCTGGGCACAGAGACTGGGAGTCTCTGTGCAACAGAGGGCAGAGATGAAGACCCAGGTAAATACAGGCTGGTTAACCTGACATCAGGGACAGGAATCTGAAAACAGGATCAGAAATCCATTAATAAGGAATTAAAGGCAAACATGCAATTAGAAGCCATCAAAACTAGACCTCAGCATTCAGGCAGGTGTAGCACGTCGAATGCTACAGCCGCAGCACGTGGCGTGGCACTGGGCAGCACACGCCGCATTTACAGGTGATGATCTACAGCCTACAGTAAACGATGCTCACGGGGATCAAACGATGCAACAGCCCGGTGGGAAAAGAGACCAGCACGCCACGCTTACTAGGCCGGGCCTGCCCAAGCCTGACCTGATTTTGCCTTTAGCTGCATTAACGCAAGGAGGAAAACGTTGTCCACAGCTGCAGGAAAGGGGGGAGTGTCCCTCAGCTATCCCAGGGGAGGCTTAAAACTTCGCTCATCTGTTGCCAGAAGGGTGAAGATGGTCTGTGAGAGCAGAGAGAGCGCACTGGGATGGGACATCAGGAAGAAGTTCTTCCCTCAGAGGGTGGGGAGCACTGGGACAGGTTCCCAGAGAAGTTGTGGATGCCCCATCCCTGGCAGTGTCCAAGGCCAGGCTGGATGAGGCTTGGAGCAACCTGGTCTAGTGGAAGGTGTCCCTGCCCATGTCAGGGGGGTTGGAACTGGATGGTCTTTAAGGTCCCTTCCAACACAAACTGTTCTGTGATTCCCTTCATCAAGGAATTGCAGGTACACATCAGGCAGCCCGTGGGGAAGGTGCACACTTGCTTGGTGTCGGGTTTGCACAGCAGGTAGTATTGTCAGAAGTTCTGTTGTGCTTTTATTTTCCAGGATGAGTTAACCAGCCTCCACCCAAGAAGGCGTATTTGCAGCCCTGCAGCCTTTTAAAGATGTGAAGCAGGAACAGAACGGAAAGGAGAAAATGTGTTGCTGAGCTCGTTTGTAAGACAGGCAGCAGGTTGCTAAAAGCCACCGCTTGTAACTGCACAACAGCCATGCACTGGTAAATAATACACACACAGGCAGTGGGCGTGAAGGCAACAGTTAACAGTGATATACAGATACTAGATATACAGATATTGGATATACAGAAAACTTGAATCACCCACAGTAGCTTCAAAGTGGTTCCATGTACGTGTGTCCTAAGGGGGAACAATGTTGCGGCTGAGTGAGAGGCAGGGCACAGGCCTACGCTGCTTCCAGCCTGATGCTGGTCAGTGAGCCGGAGGCCTGGATGAGCTCCCTTCCCCACCCTTCGGCCCATGGGGACATTAGCTGCTGCAACTCCAGCCAGCGGGCTGCCTGCCTCCAGGACCAGCCACTTCTCCCGCTTCCAGGCAGCACAGTGCCTGCAACATCGCTGACCGAGGAGCTCTGGGGCAGCACGATTCAGACTCACCCAACCGCCTCACTCTGGGCACAAGCCAAACTTACGAGCTTCCACCCAGCCTCTGCCCTGGCTCCTTTGAAGCAGCTTGGACACCTTTGCTCTGCAGCGTTCCAGGTTTCAGGAGAGATTATTAACACTTAAACTAGTCCCAGGGCTCTGCCCAACCCAGGGAGCCTTCCCCGAGCTGATGAGCTCAGAAAGTGGAGTGGTTTTCCAGCCCGGGAGCCTGCACAGGCTCTCGGGTGCGAGCGCGCTCCTCTCCCAGCAGACTCCCTCGTACTCAGGTCCAGGCAAGCTCAGCCCTCCGCCTGGCACAGCCTCTGGCTGGCAAACCCCGCTCCAGCCGCCGCTACCCTGTAGCTGCCCTGAGCAGCAACACCTTCCTTTACAACCTCCCATCCGCACGCCCACCCGTCTGCCCAAGCTGGTAAAGGAAATTCAGGCCTGCGCATTAGGAACTTTACTCCAGCAAAGCACGGCACGGGTACAGTTTCAGCACATTGAAAGCCTGGAGGCTGTTTGCTGCTACTGACTTCAGTGACATTTAATTAAGCAGATGATGTTAAAGGCTGCACCAGCCTCACTGTGCATTAGGGCTTCTCTCCCTTTTGACAATGGCACAGACTTGATACACGCTCACTGCAGACTCGTGAGAGGTTACAAACAAGCAGGTAACCGCCAAGTCAAAACCCAAACCACAGCAGGACAGAGCGAAACCACCCCCACACAACCCCCGACAGCTGCAGAGAAAATGAAGATAAAGCACTAAGAACATCCAGCCTTGAGAGACCATCCCTTTCAGGCGTATCGGTGTAAGGACGGGAGCTCTGTGATTTCGGTCCTTATGTGCATGTACAGAGGCTTCCTGAAATAAATCTGACAACCAACAGCCGACAGACAGCCACCACTAATCATTTAATTAATCATGTATTGAAATCTTCATGGGAACAACTGAAAAATCCACCTCCAATGTAAACATTTCCGCATCAATATACAAACCAGTCAGTAGTAATTACCGAAGACACCTCCTTCTCCAAAATCTGAATGAACTATGTCAACACCTCCTATGTGTATGATCCCTCAAAGGCTTCGAGGTCTGGCACTCCATGGAGATCTTCTGCAACCCACTTTACATCCCGGACTTGTTGGCCACCGTGGTGTCTGCGACGTGAACGGACAAGCGAGTCTGATGACCGTTCTGGTACCCTGACAAAGCGCGGGTACTTGCACACTCAGAGGCACCCACTTTCCTGGTTACTTTCAGGCAAACTAATAAAAAGCAAAAAAACTGCCAGCGTGACCTGAGGTTGATTGACTGATACTGCCCTAAGCAAGACAAAAAACCCCCAATGGTTTAAAGTAATGTCTTGCAAGTATGATATTTGTGGGTGGCCACGAGCACTTCTGAAAACAGTACCACCGGGGAAGGACTGAACTAAGGCGAGACCTGCGCAAGCCAAACCAACAAACGCCACGCCTTTACTACAAAGCGGCCGTATTGCGCCGGAGAGGCTGGCTTCCACGCGTGCCGTCCCTCACATCCCCCCGCCGAGCGCGGAGCAGTGCTGCTGCGAGGTTCGCTACTCCCCCGGCACACCATCAGGCTTTGTTCTTGGCTACAGGTGCGTGGGCATTTTGGTTCAACTGAACTGCTCGCTAGAATTTTGGTGCCAGCACTGAACAGGCCAAATTAACGAACCTGCCTGTTGGCCAAGCCAAACACCGCAAGGCGAGGGGAAAAAGTTAAAATAAGACAAGGTGAAAAAAATCACACACTGGGCAGAGTTACCACTATGAGAAATCAAATGACTTGCTTGACATCCACACTGTAAATAATTTCGCAGGCAGGGAAATGAATATGCTTGAGTCTTATCTTCACTCGAGGAGCGTGAAGAACGTTTGCTGAATCCTTTTACTGGTACGTGCAAGCACACGGACACGAAGCCTGAAAGCCAGCAGAACTAGACTGACCTCATGTTATCTATTGTTGTTTGGATTTTGAACAAAATTGATGGAGTATGAACCAGTTGATGAATCCTGTTTGATCTGAAAATTTTCTGTTGACAGGCCAAAGGGGCGAAGAACCAAATTCCCCAGATCCTTCAGTTTGCCTACAGTGAAAAGGAGAGATCACACATTAAGTATTAAGCAGAAGGAAAACTCCCACTGAATTATGCCCAACCACACAGTCCAGCTCTACTAATTTATCTAATGATTTCAGGTGAATGCTGTGGACATCTCGGCAGTTTGTGGACATCTCGGCAGTTTGTGGACTATTTAGGCTATTACATAAATTAAAAATTTCCCAAGCGTGATGTAGTCACTGTCAGCTTTGGGTTCAAACACGGATCACCATGCTGGTTCAGAACCCCTTGTCAGGCAGCCCCAGCGAAGAGCCAGGGGCTGCAGAGTCACGGCTCCAGCTGTCCCAGAAGCACCCTGTTTCCTCAGTGACACGCTCCTGAAGCACGAGAGTTTAAGAGCTCACAACAAAGCACTGCTCTCCTCTACACTTAAGCTTGGATGTACCTGCTTGCTGCCAACGTGCCGTTTTCTAACACGCAGTTTTCAGTTTTGGCATTGCAGACATCACTGCAGCTCTGTAACCAATCAAGGATGTTATAACCGCCCAGCGTCCTGGGCTACCGAGAGACGCAATGAAACACAGCTCAAACTGCTCATTTGTAATTATTAAAAATGCCCTTTAAACCTGGATATAAAGAAAAATAAACCAAAATTCATCCTTGCAACTGTGTCTGCACCTGCAAACCAAGCAGCTCCAGCTGCAGCATACGGCTTCTCAGCCACCCCGGCTGCAGAAACACTCAGCGTGGTGTCATACAACGTGACATCATTGACTCACTTCAAAACTACAGTTCTCCAGGACGAACTCACGGCTGCCAAGAGCTCTAAGCAGCTGTTATTCAACAGGCGTTGTTACGTATACAGATGACATGGCAGTTAATAAAACCTAAAGGCTTCTATCAATCTGGATGTATCGTACATGCTTTCCGACTCTCGAAAATGAATCTTGCTACCACCTACAAAAGGAGAAGGGCAGCAGAGGACACCTGTTTAAAAAATCATTTCTATATAGAGATGGGAGGATAGAAAACATGCATAAAATTAAACAAGTAGCCAAGGTAACAACTTCAGTGTTGGCTGAACACAAGCTGAGCCCTGGCATGACCAGAGGAGGAAGAGAGTCACTTTTCCAATAAAAGCATTATTTTCCTCCTGGCTTCAGTGCAGAATTGTGGACTGGTTTCCCAAAGAACACACAGGAGAAACTGTGACAAGCTGAAGCCTACCCTGGCTTGGCATCCACAGGCTCCACACCACCTTTCACACCGCCTTCCACCTTTACCAGACCTTGGAGGCAATGGATACTGCTTTGCTGGGAGTTCCGTGCGTGTCCCCAGCAGCAGCAGCTGGCACCCACGAAATCCAGCTGAGCGAGTGAAGTGCTCACAATCACCTAAGTAGTGCCACACCTATTCCCACGAGCGTGTGTGTGCCTTTCACAGGCATCCTGAGTCATGAGAAACATTTCTCTCATCTTGTCATCCTCACCTTTATTTCTAAGCTAACATACTAGAATCTAACTGCAGAGGCGTATGAACACTTACCATTTCATTTCTTTGCTTTTCCTAAGTGCTTTTCTTTGCCTGAAACCCTGTTCCTGCCCAGCAGTGCAAGCACCACGACCGCTGTCAGGTTTCCTCACTACAGTGCACCGGCCAGACGTCGGTTCAGGCGTTGCCGCTAAGCCCCGCCAAAGCCGTTACTTCAGGGCCGTGATAAAGGGATACAGAAACAAAGAAGCAAAGCTGTACACAGGTTCTTCACGGACAGAGAAGCAGTGTTTACGCTGCATAAATGGAGTACAGAGAGATCAAGAGATTTGCCTGGCATGACACTGCAGGCCTGCAACTGTGCTCAGACCAGAAATGGTACCCAGGCCTGACCTCAGCCTGCGGGAGCGTGTCCCTGTGGCAACGGTTCAAGCAGGTTAAACACCGTCACCATAAACCCCGATGCGCTGGCTTTTCAATCACAATTCCAAAGCTGAGCTGCGGGCAGGGGGAACTTCTTTGAACACATTCACAGAAAATACAAAAAGAAACAATAGATGGGGAAAAATGTAAACATTTTGATCTAAGGAACAACTCAGATCAGAAAATAAACTAATGGTTGGCATTACTATGGTACTCCTAAGTATGCCGAAGTAATTAAGGTCTTGTATCCAAGTGCTGTCTCACAGCTGGTTATCTTTCAGACTTCTGTGTCATTATTTTAAAGCAAATTGGTCTTTGAGAGTCAACACGGACATTCTGTGGCCTTACACAGGAAAAAGACAACCTTCGCCTACAAAAGCAGCTTGGCAAGACAGATTTTTTCAATTTGTTTGTTTTTTCTGCCTGGATTAACAGATGAGGTGGTTGGGTGAGCTGGCCAAAGTCATTCCAGGGAGTGGCTCAGCTAGGATTAGCTGCTTTATACTGATAGCGGGTCGGGGTTTTTTTAAGCTACAACCCATTTAAGCTAACTGTTGAGTTCATCATTTCATACCGCAACCTAAAAGCATGATGGTTATACAACTATAAAGTCGCTCACAGCATCTCCATGGCCGGGGTGAATCGTTGCTATTGTACTTCCAGACAAACATGCAGTCATCGCCGCAGGTCGGGGATGAGAGGTGCCTTTGTCTGCTGCTGGAAGAGCCCTGGCATCGTCTGCCACTGCCGGAGTCAGTTGTAAGCAGTTCCCAAAGTTGCGCGGGCTCTGCAGCTGGCTCAGGAGCAGGCAGACCAGTTCCCCTGTTTCAGGGAACCGTGAAAGGTCTTTTCTAATTGGAGCGAGCGCCATGGCTTTTTTCCGGTCAGATCAGAGCCAGCACACAACAACTGCCCTGGTATTCTCGCTGTAGCTGGGCCAGCTCTCCCGGAGAAGCTGAAGACCGTATGATCTATTTAATACTTTATTCTTCATCTCACTGTGGCTGAATAATTAAAACAACAGAGCCATCGGTCACTTCCCTGTTCTGTCACTACATCCACATACAGCAATGCCTTCTGGTGCAGCCACGTTTAATAAACTGTTAACGAAGCAGAAGCAAGCCTTGCCTTTTCCCAGAACTCAAGCCCAAAGCTCTGCTTCTGCTGTCTTGGTGCACATAAACCCATCATTGTAGGAAAGCTCTACTTCCTCCTCCCCCACTCTCCTTTCATCCCTAAATTAAGATCTGCAGTTAAGTCCAACCTCCTCCTCTCCCCAAAGAAATCTCTTAAAACACAGACTGTGCTTGAAGGAAGGAAGGAAAAAAGGCCTGAGGAGCTGTGACTCAGCTGCAGTCACTCACTTGTCTCCGAGCAGGGTCACATTCTCCTCTCTGAGACCCTATTTTCATAGATCTTGTCCTTCATATTTTAGAGCGCGTTTGTCTACTTTTCACCTGGAACTCCAGCATGTTGAGTTTCTTCAGCAAAGCAACATTCAGAGGTTAACAAGAAAACCAACGGGTAAAAATCAATGCAGGGCTCGGAAGTCTGGGATTCATTACTCACCTCAACTGCAATGTAACGACATCGTGTTGCAAGAGGCAGACGCACAGAAAGATTTCTCATGACTAAGATGGAACGGCCAAAATTAATTGCCATTCAGTCTTTCTGGCCATAATTCTAGTAGAGTTGCTAGTGTTAATGTGGTGTTTGGAAGCTGAAAAGCTAGATGTTGTTGGTGTTAAGAAGCTTTTTTGGATAAAAGATGAATTTCCTGATGAGGAAAGTTATAAATCTCTGTAAAACTTTCTGTATTACCAACAGCATTTCTTAAACAATTAAAAGAGTGAGGGCACATCCTTTTCCCTTCCCTAAATGGTGAGTGAGGACTGAAATAAAAGTATTATTTTTTATATTGAGGCTAATATAAAACTGTGTATTAGTTCTGATTCGAACTACTTAAAGTGATCTCCATATATGCTGTACTGGTGCTTAGCAGCTTAGCTGCAAACACAGCATACCCTGAAGTATCAAAACCCAAAACTAGTTCTTTAGGCACTAAGCCTAATAAATATAGTTGCTGATCTCAAGTAGCTGGAAAAATCTCTGACTGGCAGGAAGGCCCAGGTGATGGACTCTGATAGGCAGGTATCACACTGATAATCAAGTACATCTCACTGATTTCTGGAATGCACTCATTTATAACTTAAACTGAAAGTCCCAATAGTTTTAAATTAGATTTGATGAACTCTGTGTGTGTAAGACAGGTTACACAGACTGGCATATGTTCCATCCCATTTTTCTTACATCCAATATGCTTGGCATCCCTGTAGCCATGCAGAAAACAGCCCTCAAACAGCTAAACCTTGCTAAAACTATTCCAAACTTCCTCTCTTCTCGCACCCTCTTCCCAAAGGAGCTTGTGCTAGTTATTACAATCATCACAGCTTCTCTAAGCAAGACTAGCTTGTTGCACAATAGCTGGAAATTTTTGGCTTTCAAGTCAGAAGAGGAATAAAAAAGACCACAGAAAATGGTATGTTCACATCCCGAGCAATTACTAAGGCAGAGGACGCTCACGTTAGGAAAGCATAAAGGGACAGAGCCACGTGGATTTAAAAGCTACGTTCCAAGTGTGCTGTAGGTTAAGCTTTCGTTAACGTGGAACTCCAGGGTTAGCTCATGCTCAGCAAAATGCAGGGGCTAGTGGCAGCACTGACGTGAAAAAGCCGAGTGGAATGCAATTTAAATACAAACGTCAGCTTTGGAAATGATAGGCCCTTGCAGAGCACACAGCAGCGATGAACTTGGTTTGGCAACAAAACATGGTTTTTCTAGTGACATCAACTTCACCAATCACATGCGCCACCACCTGCGCGGAAGAATTCGCAGCGAGGTGGTCTAGAAAGAAAATCCAGCCAAGAATGTGTACTCTGACTTATTTACAGAAAATCACTTAAGAAGCGGTTTCAGCTTCTGACAAACCACGTGGTAAGGAGCTGTAGCGCTGGAAAACAGGAAACGCAGCGGGGAAGGCGGCAGATGCGCTCCATGTATTCTGGTTTGCACCCAGCTCCAGGTCTCACGGCAGCGTTCGGTAGCTGGGTATACCCAGACTTTGTTTTACTTGAAAGAATGAAAGCCCGGAAAAACAACGTTACTGGCCGATTCACTGACTACAGCAAGAATTCAATTCAGGATCCAAACTTGAGAGGAGGCAAAGCACGAAGTGTGACGTTCTCTCTAAAGGTCTGCGACTTAGGAAGGTCAGTGTCAGTGTGGCTGGAGCAGGCCTAGCATGGAACTATTGGGATGCATCTGACTTCTCTCCTGGAACCCAAAAATGTGGGGTACAGCTAAGACACTTGAGCTGACTCCCCTGTGAGCAGGTGAGGGAATGAAGCCTTGCTCACCTGGCACTGTCTAACCAGCAGCCAGATAATCTCCTACCAGACTGCCACAAGCAGTCGTCTATTCTGACACAGTAAATAGCATTGAAAAAACAAAAGTTGAAAGAGCTCCATACAAACATGTTGTACAACAAAAACATCCAAAAGAAATCTCTTAACCACCACACTACATCAAGATTGTCTTTCACTCCTTCCAGATCTCCCATCTAATCCCCTTCCTCAACTGTAAGAGTTTTTCCTTGACCTCAGACAGAACAGCAGCATTTTATAAACCTTGGGAAGTACTTCCTTCCCAGGCCTTGACCGTTACATCCATGACATCACTGCGCTCTCTCTTACCAAGAGGATACAGGGAGATTAGCCTGGTTAATAATGCATAGCCCATATACCTAACTTAATTTCAAATGTTCTATTAAGAGCATGTGTTATAGATAAAATCCTCCATTTGTGTTACACCAGTGATCGCAAGCTGTGCTAAGAATAAAATAAAACCCTGCCAAGTTGACACCGTATCATTTTAACAATACAGGTGACAATCTCTATGAATCCTGTCACATGCAAAGGCCGTGGATGAACACAGGGTTGTACAGTGCACTACCCCACTCAGTCTGGTTTTCCTGACTGTTGACAGCAGGAAACATCAGTATCTCCTTGCATGTAACATCACTCGTGAGGGATTCCTTTCTCGAGAATCCCAGTATAAACAGCCTGAACTGGTTCCCAAGTTCAGTTCTGAAATCCTACCTGCCACTGGATTAATGCTTTTTTAAAAAAGATCACATCTAGTCTTGAAATCTAGGCAAAAATTAGCAGGATCAAATGCGGTTTGTAATGTCAGTTCATAAAGCTGCGTTTGTTGTTTCAGCATAGTGCCCTGTGGTGAGCGAGGCCCCCTCGGCACTGCTAACAATGGTACAAAGGGAGAGGTCAAAAAAGATCAGGAATTGTCTTCCTATTACTTTGTGTTGAAACCCATCCCACGTCCTACGAATGGGCATGATCCTTCTGGAGACTTTCTGCATCTGTCATTTACTTAAAGCACTATCACACTTAACCCTCTTTATTTATGGCTTGTTCTAAGTACCAGGGTGAAAACAGAATCCGATGACAAAGCTCTGAACGCCTCACTGCACCTTTCCTAGGTGAAAACTGGTACAAAGCAAGAGCAAATCAGAGTCCCTGCACAGCAAGGAAAAAAAAAATTAAGGAAAAATATCAGCTTCAGCATAAGCCCTTGAAACAGTGTCATCTTACCCCAGATTTTAAGAATTAGCATTACAGTATGCAAGACAGACTGAGTCTATTTAATGTGATTCTCTGCAGAATAGCAAAACACCATCTTTCCCTTTCCCATCCCAAACCCTCAAAGCCGCCTCATCCTCAACCGGCGTTTCACCTGCTACTTGTCACACCTAGAACGAGTGCACAGCTAACTACTGAAAGCTCTTTCTAAAACTGGTCAGGTACTGTTAGTTCCTCTTGCCTTACCCCATCACTTGTCCTTGCTCTTTTGTGTGGATTTTCTGAACAGCACAAACAGAGAGATTATACAAAACCTCATTTTAAAAAGCACCAGAAGGTCAGATTGGTTGGGTAGTGACTGCACCTGTAAGAATTACCAAACCCCATTAACTGGGAGACAGCAGACAAGGTTGACAGCAGTCGTCTCTTTGGCAGGAGGTTCCGCCAAAACCGTTAGTTTAACCTGAAGTTTTAAGTGCTTTATAAAGCACTGTGAGTGCTTTGTACTTCACAGGGAACAGAAAACCAAGTAAGGTTGCCCACACAGGATTAAATAATTGTGCTTTTGAAATACATCAGTCCAGTTATTACCCAAGCAACGCCATACAACACGAGGACGGGGGCACACACATTGGAATGAGATGACTTATATTATAATCCTAATAATGACTTATATCCTAATATTAATTAAATCCTCTTTTCTACAAAGAAGTAGCCTCAATAGTATCCTTTGGTACAGAACTGTAAAAGGTCAAGTGGCAATGATCTACGCAGTCAGGAAATCTAACTGCACGCCTAGCACAGCCAGATGCCCGTTTTAAACACCTGGTAGGTTTAATTCAGACTCCACACAAACAGAACTGAAATGCTATATAAATCAAGGTAAACATGACGACATGGAGGTCTGGAGGTTGGATGTGCTACAAAAAGAACCAAATGTATTTCTTCAGACACAAGATCAAACACGCTCAGTTGTTACAGCTGGTCGGTATCTTTCACGGAAAGGTTTGGTGAAACCCCTGCTTTATCCCTTTCATGGGAATGTTTCCTTTGAATGTTGACTTGCAGAGAGAAAGGGCATAGCAGTTGGTCTGTTTCAAAACATTTTCCCCTGCTTTTACATGCATCAATATTAAATTGTTTTAGAAGGTCATGAGTATTCCTTTCTGTAAATCTAACTAACAGGCTTTTCTGTATGGAAGAACTATTGGCTGGAACTTACTGTAGGTGAAACGAGGCAGGAGAGTACTGCGAAAAAATCAGGAGTTTAGTTTAACACAGATCTAGTATTTCCTTTATAACTCACCTTTAAAATTTACACAAGAGATTCTAGTCATGCATTCTTATTTTTCTAGTAGACTATAAAGGTTATTATGCACGTTACATGTACCCACTACTTACCTAACATTTCTTTCTTTAATTTTTCATTCCGCTCTTCAATTTGTCCAGGTAATCGCTGTGGAGAGAGAGAGAAAAATTGGAATCAGACCCAGGCTGTCAGTAATACTGTACGTTAAGCTTATGGGATTTTCATACACATACCCAGGATATACTGTTTATGGTTTAAAAGGGATCCTCATGTCAAACCACACTTTCATCTTATTTTGGAAACCTGTAATTCATCCCCTAACATCAGTTCACATAAACAGGGAGTCCTAACTTGTAAGTGCAAGTTTCATACATTCTAACTGCAGAAAACCAGAACTGATCTGTTTGCTTGGAATTTTAACTGGCAAGCTTATGGAACAAACTTGTAATTAACGTACATTTTAGCCCTATTTCCTCTGCTGCATGCATTATATTTGGTAAAGGGAGGCTAGAGGAAGCAAGTACAGCGTTTGACTTCTGAACATAAACACAGGGGTAAGGAAAGAAACATCTATGAAGTCATTTCTCAGTGACATCACACTTGAGGGAAATCCATGCTCTTAAAATATGATCTTCTAAATACAAGCATTTGATCAGCAGATCACTGAATTAACTGTCTGTGAACTTGGGGACATAGTAAGAGGCTGCTCACTAAACTACGCAATACATGGCATAGTTCTAAGGAGGACAGGGTGTTACTAATGAGGGCCTGGATTTGGCAGGTCATCGTGGGGAGGGAACTCCAAGAGTTCACCCTGACTAAGGTACTAGTCCGAGTAACAGTTCATTAGCATGTGTTTTTCCTGCTCAGAACTGGCATCAGAGTTAAAATCGGTTGCACCATCACAAACAAACTTATGAGATGTTTCTAATGAGCCTTACGTAACTGCACGGGCTATGTGTTCCTAATGATGTGAGGTTCCCATTTAGGGCTACAACAGCTGCAGCTCGTCCTCCATCTGCGCACAGAACTGGTGCTTTGCTATATGATCGCAAGGATCATTTGGAATTAGAACTTTATATTCACTACATTTACCACTGTATCACTTAAATTTTGCATTTTCTATATACCAGTTAAATACAATATTAAAACAAAATATATTACAAGTGACAGCCACTTTTTATATGACTTTTTCATATTTTTCAGAAGTACTAGTTCAAGCTGTTATACTACGCTTATTACTGTGCAATTCTGGCAGTTCAGCATGCGATTATATGCACAACTATGCTGTCTCTTTGCAGAGGTCACAGCAAGTAAGACAGATCTGCTGTAATGGTGCCATCAGTAAATTAATTCCAGTTGCAAACTATGGTAACAGGTGTGGAATTCACTCCTCATACACTTCCCTTGTGATAATTGGCTTCTCAACACACTTAAAGAATTCATTTCCTAATCTTGTTCCTTCCTGTCACTTACAGCTCCAGTCATCATGGATAGGTTTGTCATCCTGGTATCGCTGCCACAGTGAAGTAAGGCGTTCTCCTCCAGAAAAAGCCTGTTGATAAGGCTGCCTGGCTATTCCTCTCCTCTTCAGTGCAGGACACACTGGCGAACACAGGCAAATACAGCTCATGTTCTATAGTGATGGGGAGGGGAGGTGGTATACTTCTGACAGAAGAGTCCTAAGGACCAGAATGCAGATACACCTACATGGCTGAGCTTGAAAGCAGCCCAGGCCCGGCATCACCACCGCTGGGCCAGATCTAATTAGCCCACTCAGACCTCATCTGACTCCTGCTGACCCAGAGGGGCTTATTAGGTTGGGTGCGGAGCTGGACCTAAGCTGCCTGCATGAAAACATGTGGATATCCCCAGGCTCCAAATTCAATTTGCATTGCGGCTGTGAGATTGGCTGGATCTTGGACAGATTTGGCATATATAGTGCCTCTCACATTTGGACATTAGGCTTTAGCAGGAAACAAAGGCACACACCCTTGGTCTGAAATCCATACTCCATGTTTTGTCTGCCTGAATACTACTATTCCAAAGACTCAGCATTTCTCACTCCAGTTATCTACAGCGAGGTGTCCGTAAGGACAGCTGTTTAGCTGGTGTCCATAGCACTATTCTCAAAATACAGCTTCTTTAAGTAAATGGGTTTATCTGGCCTGCCAATCCCTCAAAAACGGCATTGAAGCTAAAATTCACACAACACACACATACTAAAACCAAAACCTAAAGATTGATGCCATATAATCAAACACTTTCTGGGAAAGCATCAATAGGGATTGTTTGACCACAAAACATTATCATTTCAAGGTGTTTCATTTGGCAGGGAGGACGTCACAAGTAACTAAAGTGTGGGACACCAGGGTTTAAATCAAAACACTAGCACTGTGTTCCTGAAATATAGACAGTACTGAAATTCTAGAGCAGCTCCCAAATCAGGAATCAAAGTGAAACAATTAAAGTATTTAATATTTTTAATTTAAACTTCTTTTTAAAAACTGTCATTTACAAGATCGCGACATTGCCAAAACAGTATGGGAAGAAGTATTTTCTATGTACATGAAGGAGAAATATTTGCTCTAGCAGTGAATGAAGCTAATTTGCAGATTCCCTGGATGCATCATTTTCATTACCAGTGAGAGGGAAAAAAACCCTGCTATATTTCTGCAAAGAGCCATGTGCTTTACCTCACAATAAAGCAAAGCTTCTTAAGCCTCCTACATATTAGATATGTTAAGCACATATGTGGAGTCAACATTATAGCTGAATTTTTTTTGCAATATGAAATTTAGAGATTTATTATGAATAAGTATAAAACTAGCTGTCGGGATTTCCTTAACAATTTTTCAAGAGGTGAGTTTTAAACTTCAGTCTCACAGGATTGCTTCTACCCTGAATCTTGCCAAAGAACAGGTCCAACTTGGGGCAAAATGTCTTAAATCCCACTGCAGCGTAAATTGAGGGCATTTAGTACAAAGTGTCCTGCACCACACGTGAGCCTAAAGCCTCTGCCTCATCAAATGAGGTCAAGGAGCAGAAGGTACATGTAACAGTCAACCTCTGTGCTTCCCAGCTACAAAAATTAAGAATAAATTACTGATCATTCTAAAACATTCCTGAAAGATGGCCAGGAAGAACAGCAGCACTGTTTATGATTCCCCTCTAGCCCAGTCTCCACTGGTTACTGAGCAAGGGTTCTACTGTGAGATCATCAGAGGCGTACTCACTGAAAGAAAACCGTGGTTTTGCAAGAGGTATAAAGGACAGCATGTAAACTTTCAGGGTGTTCCAATGAGCCAAAATATATGCTTTTTAAACTCCTTACATTTTGTCCCGACTACTGACGGTATTCCCAAGTCTGAATCTGTGGAGTCTTGGCTGGTGCTTCGTAACAATCTGATCCTCCTGGTTGTTCTGTGAAGGATGAGCTGCTAAGATGCACCCGTACACACCAGTGGGGTTTTACCAAGGAGCTGGTCAGATCGCACAGGCCTCATGCTGGAGCTGGTCTAATGCTAGGAGACTGCAAGCTGCTGAAACTAAACCCCATCGTTTCCTTTAGAAATGTCAGCAGACTCCTTGGCTGAGTTCCTGGATCAGGTAAGCCACAGTCTCAGCTAGCAGACTGTGAACAAGGCCACCACAAAGACTCTGTTCTAGGCGGCGATGGACCCATCACATTCACTACCCATGCAGTAATGCTGGTTGACAAGCCTGTCACTCATTAAGCCATCGCCAAGAGCTAGGTGATAGCATTCTGCTCTCACCAGCTGCATGCAACAAGCATCAGGGGGTTGTTTCACAGTACAGTAAACTGACCTTGGCAGTGGCTGCCAAAAGGGATGGCCCCAATTCCTGCACTGCCTTGACCATGCCTTCTTTCCTTCTCACTATGATTTGCAGCAGGACTTGTCTGACTGCAAAAAGCCAAGGCAATATTCACTTCGTATTTACTCTGGGGCTTTTTGGTGGCTGGTGTTTTTTGCTCGCTTGCTGTGGTTCCCCTTAGTGGAGTTTGTTTTCTGCCAGACCGCTATACAGCACCAGCCCTCCCCGGGGCCAGAGAGGAGCTAGTACCAGCGCTGGCACAGGGAACGCAGCTGGACAGCTTTGTAAGCAGCAGGCAGTGAGGAGACCAGTTCAGCTGTTTTGTGAAACCCTTACCACTAACAGGAATTCCACAGTTAAGCAGGATATTTTTCTGCCTTCAGCGCAACCAATCCAGTCCCAAAGGAAGCATTTCCACGCCAGGCTTCTTGTCTAATATGCTATAAAAGCAGTTTCTAATCTGTCACTTAAACCACCACAGTATTGGGAAATCACTACTAATGATTTATTTTCCCAAATGGAGAGTTTAAACAATTAAAGCGAAGCCTTTCAAAAATATTTCTGCATTGACATATTCAAAGTGGCTTTAGAGACAATTTTGCAGGTGAAGCAATTTTTTTCCCCTTTATGGGGCAGAATACATAGCAGGTTCACTGACGTGAAGCTGAACTCAAGTAACGATGCCCTTTGAACACTCAACCAGATATAAATAAAGTATTAGCATATGGATTTGGGTGCCCAACTAAGAATGATGTTTTAAAACTGCACCCATTCACCTCAAAATGGAAATAAAGAACAGTTTGGCTGTCTTCCCTGCAGAAGATGGTCAGCTCTTTCCAGGCTCTCTGGTGCTTGCAAACCAGTCACCTACCATGACCTGAAGGTCCCACTTCGATAAAAAGTGACCACCACTGTATTTTTTGTAGCAGCTACCTTTCATTACCACATGTTCTTTCAAAATCACAGGCTGTCTGGCCACATCTCTACCACATCTGTCCTTTCAAGACAGCCTTCGTAACCTCTTTTCAAAAATAAGAACAGCAAGCAGCCTGTTAGAGGAGCTTTCTGCAGAAAATAAACTTCCCTTCTTGCTACCCTTGCGAAAAGACCCTCTGAACTTGTCAAATCCACAGCCATTTTCCACACTAAGCTTTAACATAGTAAGTATCACTAGAAAAATCACTTCCTGCTGGTATTTTACACAAAGAGTTACTTAAAACCTCAAATCAGCAGGCTGTGGCAGTGACTTTAAATCCCCCGTGAGTAGGATTTATATGTTAGACTGGGGTTTCAGGAAGTGCTAGGGGTTTACTTTTTTCATCCAAGCTGACACATCTTAAAGGCCAAGGAAACTTTTAAAGCATTTCCTTACTTACAGAGATATGGCAAGGATTCTGCAAGAAACATTTCATCCTGAAGCATTTCTCATTTGATTGAAAGTGGGCAGTACTAAACTGCAGAATTTGTTGGGTTTATTTTAGAATGAAAAAGTAACTGAATCGGGAGAGAGTGCTGTTTGCAACCACAAGGTGACTTTTTCTTCTTTTTCTTCAAGTGAAAGGCTAAGTTTCTGAGGATCAATAGCAGACTTCAGTCACTACCAGCAGAATGACTCAGAGGAGTCAATACACACATAAGGCATAGCAAGGAACAAGAACAGAAGACAGCTGAATCAAGAAACAAAAATAATCAACATTTTGAAGTACCGACAAACAGATACAGACTGATAGAATCCTGTCTCTCTGACACTCTCAAATTTATATAATCAAGTAATAAAAAAAAGGAATTATTTTATAATTATGCCATCATGGCATTTGACTGCAAATTTAACAATTGGAAAAATAACTCTACTGAAAGAAAACCAGACTCTCAGTAATCAAACAGCTAGCAAGACCTGTACTATAGGGTGCTTGCATGCTGATCCCCAAACTGCAGATCCTTACTGAGAAGGTGGCTACTAAAATACAGCAGTGGTTCAGCCAACCTTTTCTAGCATACACATAAACACAATTAACAGCCTCAATCAGAAAACTAGAACGAAGTTCGTGTGTGTGAGCATGCTATTCACAGCTGAACATGTAACTACATGCTTAGAGCCCAGAACACACGTTTACTTTCACTCATTTTACAACAGTAAAAAGAGGAGTATGCTTTATGGACCTGAGACCTTGGTGGCAGTTCATGAGATCATCCTTACGTAAATCCAGATGAGAAAGCCACTACTCTTTCAGACTCACAAAAAAGAAGTTATCCCCACTGCATATGAAACTGCTTGCATAAATAGCATTGGATATTCAGAACAGAAAAGAAAAGACCTTGGTTTAAAGTTAGGCCAAAATATACTAAAAACGCTTACCATACAAGCTTCTCTGGCTTGATGAACTGATGGGTCTTTTTCTAGGACTGCCTTATAATCTTCCAGAGCTTCATCTAGTTTTTCTGTTTTTTCATACAGTTCTGCTCTCCTCAGCAGAGCTCTGATATAGTTAGGATCTAATTCCACCGCTAGAAAACAAAACCAAAGCACACTATTTTATTTGAAACATTTCTACACCCCTCAAAAGGGTATGTAGCTTAACGTAGCTTATAATCAAGCAGAGCCACAGTTTAAAAGCTGTTGTAATTCAGAAAGGCATACATCACAAGCCTGTGAAACGTGGTTATTTGCATTAGACTTTCATTTGGTATCTACAGACTATCACAGACAGAAGTGATTTATAATGCACAAACACTTAAATTTTCAATACTAAATATGCAGAGATGCTAAGTGACACTTCAGAAATTTTAAGGACCTGTAAGGTATTTTTCAGCTTTTGCATATTTAATAAGTGTGTATTATTAGATTGCAACTAAAGTTAAATATACCTAAAGATATGGATAGCAGGGAAAATAAGGGTTTCCATTCTTATCCTAGTTCAAGTTGAGACAAACTACAGGAGAACTACTGGGGTTCTTCTGAATTTACTCCAATATCAAACAGTCAAAATTGGGTTGGGAATCCACAAATGGTTATATTACATGGTTATATTAGCTCTACAGGTTAGCAGAGGGGCTTCCTGACTGAATTTTAAGATTTTCCTTTCTGTATTCCCTTGGCAGCCATGTCCATTTTTACAGATGCAGTTAAGACTGAATGCTAAACTTAGCAGTACCCCACAAATGGTAATTTCTCAATAATTTTCTTAATCCATTTTTCATCACAGGAAGGAGGAGTATGAAAGACTGCCCATTTTATAATTACTAACCCATTAAAATGGTTCTAGGGACAATTAAATCTAGGATTATCTAGCTAAATGTTCTCTCTTATTTCTCCTGGAAGGACAAAGACAATGCTACAGTCAGCAAGTTGCAGGTTAGTGTGAATTGCTCTGCTGTGCTCCAAGTGTTGCATTGCAGTTTGTAAGCCAGTGCCCTGGGGACTGTCGAGTGACGGTCGGTTTAAGTCTCACTGCTGCAAAGCAGACTGATTCCCTTTCAGCCACGACAAAACTAGCAGAGATGTTTTTCAAAATGCACCACCACCAAAACAAGGCAGACCTCCAAAGTCACAGAGGCCAGCTAGAATTCGTTACCTCCAAGAATGCCTTCAGCATGTACAAACTCATATTTACTGTACACGCAGTACTGGCATGCAGCCATTGGACTAGTTTTCTGATTGGTAATTTGGACTTTTTTCCCCAGCTGTCATGGGGAATTTAACAAATATTCCAGCCTGGGTGAGTGGGTGGAAGCACTAAAGCAACACACAGCTGAAATGCTTTCACCAGAAGCTGCAGAGAGAAAACTGCAGGATAAGAACGGGAGAGCAAAAGCCCTTGTGACAAAGCAAAAGCCTTGCATAAAAGGGACTTGATAATGCTTTTAATTCTACAAGGCCTCACGGTTCTTTGGAATCTGGGATTAAACCAAGATTTGGGGGGAGAATGGCAGGTGGAAGACGGTTTAAAATAGTAGGTGTAAGGAAACAGTTTCCACAATAAAAAGACTTCCCTATAAAAAATGAAGTACAAACAGCAGCCTTATTGGCACAAGAGAATAGAAAGTAAATTACTACAGAAAGGAAAAGTTTGATAGACATTTTAAGAAATAAATAATAAAAATAATCTAGATTCAGGTGTCTTCTACCACAGCTTTTCTATAAATTCTTTAGAGACCCTTGTGCCCGGAATTACAGCTCTGCAGTAAGGCACTAACTGCCATAATTTATACATGAAAGATCTGGCAGAAGAGCAGCAGACAGAAAAAAAAGTCATACCTTTGCTGCAGTCACTCAGGGCAGCGTCTGTCTTGTCCTAGAACACAAAACAGTTTTGTTATACTTAAGTCGTATTTCTTGAGAAACAGATTATTTACAATTGCAAGCAAAAAGGTTTGTCTGGCATTCCAAGGAACGGGGATGTTCATGTAATCAAGGCTTTTCATACCGTTGCTTCTGATGCAAAGCTCTTTACCAGTGATTAGCTTCCTCTCTGTGAAGGCTGCCAGTGTTCACACGGCAGGGCTGCCCCAGTCACCGGTCTGCGCTGAGCAGCCGGCAGCAAGCGACAGTCAACAGGCTGAGTCACACCTGCAGGCCTTGGCTTCACCCCGCTACAGCCTCTCCACCTCTGTCAGCTAATTAAGGGGTTGGAACAGACGGTTCCCAAGACTCCCAGATCAATTCTTGTCTTCGCTCATACAGACATTTGGAAAGCAGAGGATACCTTTAACACTAACACAGCTTTCTCTACGAGGGACAATGCATGGGACTTGCTCAAGTGGCAGGGACAAGATTTTAGTGCACCCAGATAAACCACAGTTAGAAGATGAGAGCCAGGCAATCTGCTTATAATGAAACAAGAAAGAACAAACCCAAAAGAGCCGAGACAGAGATCCTATTTTCATTCAAATCAAAAGGGCTTTAAAAAAAATCCCAGAACCACCAAAAAACACCAAACCAACACACCACAAACCAGGCTGTTCCATGCTTGTATTGTTGATACAAGCAGTTGTCATCTTTCTACACCAAAGGAACTACTTTCTCCTCCACAAATTCTTGCCTCATAAGCTTCTACTGTAGTGCAAAGCAAATGGGTGCAGCAGGTACAGAAGAACAAACTTAATGGGGAAGTTACTAACAATATGAATCTATTTGCAGAGCAATGTACTGGTCTGCCAGGTTCCAACCTACACTGCTGAGATACACTAGTTTGCATCACAAACACACAGCACTTGTACACACAGTTCTGTTATCCTCTTGGGCTCCTCTGTGGACTATTGGATTAGTTTCCTGGTCATATGACTAGTTAACACCTGGATTATGAGGAGGTTTTTCGGTTTACAGCTTTCATATTTGAAAGGTTCCAGCATTTGTTATTACAGATCTGATCCCTTTTTTAACTTGTCTGCTCAAACAATTCAGTACCCCAACAGCAAGTCTGATAATTCCAGCTGAACAAGAATACCCTATGCTGAGTAAGAATTTATTTATTTATGCCTAAATTTGGCTGCAAGGTACATTTCTAAAGAGAGCTGCATCTGTCTCAATACTGGAGGAAAACTTCAAGAAAGTTCCCTTTCCAGGAGGGTAAAGTGAGGGTAGGAGTTACTGTGGTACTTTTCTGTAATAATTTAATCTTAAAAACAAAGGCAAAAGTTAGGAAGTAGATTCTCCTGAATTCTTAGTAACCCCTCTTTCTAAAGAAGTGAAAGTTTCTCTTTGGACAGATCATGCTCTACACCTTCCATGCCACCTAAGTGTATTGCTGATTTTGGTAACATCTGGGCACGTGTCTGGTCAAGGAACAAGTAACGTAAGAAAGCTGCAGCCATTCTACCCAGACCGTGCCCTACTGTATAGGTCTGTCCTACAACATAACAGTGGGAAGGAAACAGACTACCTAAATTAATAAAGCCATAGTCAGGACATCCTGCTTATGCCTCAAAACATCTGAGCCAATTAAATGAAGACAAGTATATGACAATCCAGGCTTTTACAAAAAACCACTAACCAGCTACAATTCTAAACAGTCCAAAACATGGTCTTCATAAACTAAACATGCTCAAAGGCATCTGTTCCACATGAACTTTGAATTTCCTTGAAATAGAGAGAATGAAAGAAAAATCAGTGTTTTAAACACAGTGCAGCAGAGCAACTTTAAAGAGCTGTACCGGCTGCCACTTTCAGGAGTTTATGCATCCTCAGTAGAACCAAGAATACCCACATCGCTTCTGAGAGCATGAGACCCAGCAAGCAGCAAAACCTGCAAACAGCTCATTCCTTTGCTCTCCTTTATGTACCCCTAATGACTTAATTATTGCATTTGTCACAGAATCAAGACACGCTGTTTCATACAATAAAAAGAATATTCACCTGTTTCATTTTTGCAGCAGCTCTGTTTGAAAACAAAACAGCCCTATCTTTTTGAAAGCAGGCTGGGCAAATCTGCAGAGCCTTCGTGTAAGAGTCTTCTGCCTCTCCATAGTCTGCAGATGCAATAGGAAAAAAAAAAACAACACAGACCATTTATTTTGAATGCCAGTACAGCCAGTGAACCACATGGATTTCTTTGGAAACATTTCTCAATATATGATGCAGTATTATTCCGGAAACAGTAGCTGCTCTCAGACAAAATGCATTACTAAGTAGCACACAGATCAGTGACAATTAATTATTTTTCAACACCCTTGTAAAAGCAGAAATACAGTCCCAACCTTAATGTAACAAGTGCAGCATGATGCGTACGTAATTCTCATCCTGAAATTGTTTCATTCTATTTGAGTACGAGCCTTAGAAGCAGAGTCTCTTTACATGAAGAGTAATCTTGATCTGAAAGGAAGCATGTGCTGAAACATGTCACTGTGCTGATACCTGTTCAAAGCAGCTATGAAGATATTTTATTTGCCACATCACCCGAAGGTCATCTGTCATCAAATCTGGTCTAAAGCAAGGACCTTTGGTAAACCACGTGGGATTACCAAGTTATTTATCTTCTAATAAAGGCAGAGTCAAGAGTGAAAAGATGCTATACTGACTCTGAACAATGCCCTGCCAGCTGACAAGTGCATTGTCCTCAAAACAGAGCAGTTCTTTCTGTGCAAATTAGCTGGTGACCGTCCAGGTGCTTAAGTATTCTGATTAGTAAGCACTTCCACAGGCACATTGAAAAGGTCTGCCAAAGAATTTGTCAGGAAGAGGCTATGGATGAGACTACACAAGATGATTCAGCCAATGTTATAGGCTTGCTGCTTTTGCGGTCCGAGCAGTTCCCTTCTGCCTGCTCTGATGTTTGCCTGAATTGGTAAATCATTTCCCAGGAATCTTGCTCCCTTAGCACACAGTAAGAGACCCCCAGCAGGAAGGCCACTGTCTGGTTATCAGGGTATGCTTCTGGGGAGGGGAACTTAATTGCTTATGTCCCTGCTGACTGAGGAAAGCATGAACCTGCATTTCCTGGTTTCTTCGTGAATCCTCTAGCCACCAAAACATTAAATGACAGACAGGTGTCAAAATCACTTCCCCCTTTAAGTTTTTTAATTAAAAGCCTGGATACAGTTATTTATGATTGACCTCGACCCTGTTATGCATTACGTTCAGAACATGCCCAGTTCTGGCATAAGCTAGAAATTTATATACCTCTAGTGTTTTTCTTGTACATCTCTATATGTGCACACATACACTCGTGTGCATTTCTATATACACACACACGTGTGTATCTACATGTATGCCTATATGTATACAGATGTACGTATGTGTATACGCATATACAGATGTTCGCGTACATATGTGCACACACATATGACCTATCTCAGACAGAGTCAGTGGATAAAAAGAAACAGAGGTATGAGAGAGACACTGAGCCACTGAGTCCTCCTTCACTTCCACGCACATGCATTAGCAGAACTCGGAGCCTGGCTGGAAGCCTTCTTTGATTAGTAAAAGAAATGATGGCACTTGGCAGTCAATTCTGTATCATGTTCTTGGATTTAAACACTTCGCTTTCATGAGAAACTTGCTTTAGTAATCCAAGTCTTTGTGATTTAAACTTAACCCTTAAGGAGGTCTGCTACCCGTTCTGTTCTCTAGGGCTGGATGAAAAACTATATAGATGATATATTTGAACAATGATAGGTGTGAGCTCTCCCTATGGGTTTTCTGCAACATCACCATGATGGCTAAGTATTAATTTAAGATTCTCTAACATCCATATGGTGTTAAAAGGTTACTAACCCACCTCCTTTCTTGAACTGCTCATTTCCTTTCTCCTTCAGCATTGTGCTCTCCTTTCTTCTTTTCTACAAAAGAAAAGACAATGTCTCAAAGTATTTAATTGAAATGAACAACTAGGTCAGCTTCAGTTCCGAAGAAAGTATGAATAGAAATCAGAATAACATATAACCTGAAGAATTTTAACTAGTACCAAGATAGTGTGCTTGTAGTCATTGTGACAAGATACACTTTGTGTATCCATGAAACACTGGAGTATGCCAACAAAGCAGCTAAAAAGCTCCAGTTCATGGACAATAGTATGCAGGAAGAACATTCATAGCAAATTACATGGTTCTAACTAATATGTTAGCTTTTTAGCTGTCGGTTTGCTTCTCCCTTCCAACTCAGTTGACCTGCGCTGATTGAATTAAACTATGTAGAATATATTTTAGATGTAAAGTCTCAGAAATGTTGCTTGAAATAATTCCACCTCAGAAATCCACGGTTACTTTCAGAGGTGTAATGTACAAAGCACGCTGAGCAGACTGCACTAAAACAAGTCCATGGATAATACTGCCCTGAAATATTTCTTATGCAGAGAGTGACTAAACCATCAGATCCAGAGACAGGAAGATTGTTCTGTTATTCAGTGAAAATTGCACATGCTGAGCAGAGTTGTGTTTTCAACCGTGAATATCTTAAACAGTACTCTTGGCACAAGCGAAGTTGACATGAATGCTCTTAGCCCCTGACACAGAAAACACAGGATGTCATCAAGCCATCTCTTCAACCCATTTACAGTGGAAGTGTCTCACATGCAGACATACCTCACACAAGTAAAAACAAGGCAGTATAAGTAAGACAGTAACATCAAGAAGCAATGCTAATGTTCATGAATCATTTCTAGGGTAGAAAAATGGTCATTTGACCACTGATTTTGCCCCCAACACACATGCGCACACAAAGGATTTAAATCAAGGTGCCAACAAATTACAGATCATTGAGCAATTAAAAAGGCAACATTAGGAAAAGGAGCAGTTTCCTGCAGATTGTGTAAATCAAGGATTAATGCAATTATCAATATCGCACAGAACATCTCCTTGGAAACAGCTAAATATAGTGCTCTGTGGAGCACTGCACCATCCCACAGCTATGCCAAGTAGCTGACAAACAATACAAAATCAGAGGTTCTCTCCTCTTGCTTTTATTGGTTTTGGAAAGTAATTCACCCGACCACTGTCACCATCTAAGTAATAACAGATCACAGTGCTCTGAAAACTAGGCTCAGGGGAATGGCATTCAGTTGTGACATACAAAATCACACAGTAAAGTATCATTTGACCCTTTCAGTACATGCCTAGACCACAGTTTTTTTCCTATAGCCTATGAGATAATGTTTTCTAATACTCATTGTTCCTCACATTTAAAAAAAAACAAACCAAAAACCCCAAACCCATAAGTCAGACAAAACATGCAGCACTATTCAGAAATTGGCTTTCCTCCAGGGTGGACTGACAAACCTACACAAGTCCTTCCACAGTGTCGCTTGCACCAAGGTACACAAGCCAGCCGGTGCTTTCTAAATACATACGAATTTGCGCACTTGAGGCACAAGCTGCATTAAAAGCACAAATTCTTTGTATATATGCAGGATTCTGCTGTTCAGCACAGGGAGTATGTAAGTGCATCTGAGAGCTGTACCCGAACTTGGAAGCGCCACACAGAACAGCTCCAGGAAGGTCACTGCCACCCGCACGGTCGGCTCCCCACAGGAGGAAGGTTTTAAAACATCTTGAATGCGTACAGAGTGAAAACGCAACAAAAGTAATTTTCATACCAGTGAACAAAGCAGCCAGATTTCAGCACAGAACAGGTTTGGAGATGATGATCCTACTGGAAAACATTAAAAATCTACATAGACAACCCTCATTCAAGGTAAGAAACCCTTGAAACACTAGCCCTACTGCCTTCATTGCTCATGACCTATTTAGAACTGGCCTTTATCTGCCATTAACTGATTCACTGTTGCATAAGGTAGAGTTACAACTCCATCATGAATGAAAGTTTTTCATATAAAATGAGGACTACAGCATAGTCCCAGTACTCCTGATGCAGAAACCCTAAAATCAAGGAACATTGGATGAAAAGCTTTACCTGTATTATCATTGGTTTGTTTCATTTCATTAAAATTATTAGAAATTACTACATGTTTACCCCAGCTAAGTGTTAAATACTAATATACTATGTGACTTGCAGCCCAGAGGCTTCAGGAGAATAAGCTTTATATTAAAAAAAAAAAAAAGAGTAAAAGGAACAACAACAACAACAACAACCTTCAACTGCAGGATTCCTTCAACCGTAGCCAAGAGGACTGTGACCTGCAGTCTCAAGAGCACAGAAGAAAGACCAAAGTGGCTGTATGGCCATGTTCGCTGGGGAAACATGGGCAGATGAAAGTCCTGAGCTCTGAAGAGTTTAAGGACAGTCACAGCATGAAGCTGGTGATTCATACAACTCTGCTCCTCCGAAAGTCTGTTCCTTGGTATGTCCTGTGAATCAGACTGCACAGACTTGAAGGATTGAGAACTATTAGTCGCGTAACTATTGTGTCAGTGACTGACTTGAGGTCACTTCTGGCTATTTGACCAGAAAAGGTGTTGTCTAGCCACGTTTCAGAAGCCAGAAGCATAAAGAACACCGTATATGGTTTTGCAGCTTTCTCAGCCCCTGGAAAGCAGCAGTGCAAGCAATGCAGTCCTGGTTCAAAACCAGTATTTCTGTTACAGCTGGACCAACACTTTCAAGTTATTCCTGTAGTACAGGTTTCAGGCTGTCCCTTAAGTTCCAAACTGTACAAGTTTTCACAGTATTTTTCAAAAGGGCAGTCTATAGAGTACCTCATGCATCATTCTATATTTGCATTTGAAGTATGTAAGCCATACATAGTAGCAGACTATCCCTAAAAGCAAATTCTTCTAGCTTTTCCACAAAAGGTAAAAAGCGTATGTATTAGCACCTCACATCCTAAGCGCGCTGCCCTCAAGAGTACATGCTGTGTTTGTGAAATAGTAGAATAATGCTATTATTCGATCGATCGATCACTTATACCTCCATATAAACATTTATTTAACAGAAAATCCTAACACAAAAGCAGTGAAAAGTCAACTATTTTGGCTGAATTTACATTTAACCTGCAAGGAGCGCTCCAATGGATGCTGTTAGAATGTGGGTTTTATTCATATACAGAGTTAAAAAAAAAAAAAAAACCACAAACAAACCACCAGCAAAAGCTGAAGTGCTGTTGGAAGCCTTAACCTCTTCACTCAGTATACTGCATTTCCAGCTTCGATGGACAGCTGCAAATTGACTGGTCATCAGTCTACCGTGATCATATCAGCCCAGAGTGAAACAATTGCAAGTGACTTGTCCTTGGGACAAATTTTGCACAATGTCATTTCAACGTCCCCACCCACTCATTCTTCAGAAGAAGATTTTAGTAGCTGCAGGGCAGGCTACCCTTTCCTCAGCAGGGAAGTAGGTCAGGCTGCACGAGAAAGCTCTGCCTAAGGAAAAGATAGCTGGATGCACTGCGCTCCGAGGCTGCTCATACACAACACTGAGGGGTTGCGCACAGCTTCCCCAGCTTACACTCCATTATGGGTTTCTGCTACTCAAAGTCAGCAAAATCTTGCGGTTTGTTCTTTGGAAATTTTATTAACACAAAGAAGACAAATTCCAAGTGACAGTCTTTAGTTTTTGATGTACAAAGTAAAAGTCCAGAAGAAATAACTACATGTAACTAGTAATACGGCTCTTGCCGGATCTGATTAGAAACGTTTACAGATGTGAATACTGAATTACAATCATCCATATTCTGAAGAAATTAGGATTTTAACACAGACCTACCTGACAAGCAGGAGGTGCTGAAGATCACGGCCTGATCAGATGTAAAAGGCCACTTGGCTTTCTGACTGTGAAGTACAGCAATTCAAAAGTAAGGCCATTGAATACAGTCCCTGGACCTCAGCTACTCTGCCAAAAAACTCAGGGCTAAAAATAAAAGCATCATAGCATTATTCTACTATTAGAGAAGAAAGCAACCTACACATTTTCACTGTCTGTTTTGGAAGTAACCCATATAATAAAAGTGCTGGAAGTGAAATCCTTAAAAATAGTTGGCAAGAGCTGAAGGCTGAACACCCTCAATTTGTAATGCTTCCAACTACGCTTCCTCTGGCTGCTCCTATGCATTTTATTTGATCAATTGATTTAACTTTGCAAGGGAACTGTTCTTGGCTTCAGTTTTGTCAAGAGAGAAGAGAGTATGCATTTGCTGCTAAGGCTGTTTATACGGAGTGACAGTGCACATCTGCATCTCATGTACCCTTTTGTAAGGTCACCAAGTAGCAGTCAATTTAAAATTACTGGGTTCAAAGGGTGCACAGAAGCAAGGGATTTAAACAGATAAGGAATGTATTTCTCAGCTTCAAATACCAAAGCTATTTCTAAGTCATCCATTAGCAGTCATCTGCCTCCCCCTGCAGTTTTGCGAAGCTACTGCTATGTAATGCGTTCAAGAATTTGAATTTCAGTTTAAGGCTGTAGTCACTCAAAAAATCCTCTTCCAAATCTTGCTAGAGTTGTCACTTAAAAACTGTGCCAAATCTGCCCTCTACACTCCAGAGGCAGAGTTATAACCTTTGCTAGAGTCCGGCCAATCTGTGCTCAGTGTAACTCCTGGTAAAGATGCATTAGTCTTTCTACTGCCAAATCACCACCTTTTCCTGAATTTGTAAGCAGCTCTTCCAGGACAACAGGTCACATCCAGCCTTGACAGTCAGTTTACGTCAACATGTCAGACTGTGACTGTTCCTGAGTGACAATGCATTCAGTCGCTGCACTTCCAGGGGCAACAGCCTCAGGCAGAAAAGCGGAGCTGACCACTTAATCCATCACCACTACAAGTGGAAAAGGTCTGAATTTGACCCTATAAGCATCTTTCAGAGAAATGCAAAAATGAATGCAAGACTAAAATTAGATAGCAGCATTAAAAGAAAGTTTTTTACTCTTTCTATTAAATTTCCAC